TATCTGCTTTCATAGGAATTGGTGCGCCTATGTCCACACAAGACTACAGCCCACTATAGTGGTTGACAATGTAGAAAGCTACACATCAGGAAGGAACAAGCAATGCACCTGGCTTACGGGACACTGTGGCTCAAGGTATGTAACACAGTTTGAACTGTCTGAGTGTGCTTTAATTAAGACCTATTAAATTAATGAAAAAGAGAGAATAGAAGGCCTGAAACATCCCAAAGAGACCTAACAAGACTACAGCCCACTATAGTGGTTGACAATGTAGAAAGCTACACATCAGGAAGGAACAAGCAATGCACCTGGCTTACGGGACACTGTGGCTCAAGGTATGTAACACAGTTTGAACTGTCTGAGTGTGCTTTAATTAAGACCTATTAAATTAATGAAAAAGAGAGAATAGAAGGCCTGAAACATCCCAAAGAGACCTAAATCCTCCAGAAGATCAGTTAAATTAATGAAAAAAAAGAGAGAAAATAGAAAACTCTGAATCATTCTAAAGAGCCCTAAATTCTCCTCACAGAATTTCTTCCATCATCTTCCATTTTGCAACAACAATGCTGAGCCCACTGTGACAGAAGAACAATCAGATATCACGAATTACTCCATTCCAAAGACAGGAGTAAGGAAAAGGGATTAAAAATTGTGGCTTTGCTTTAGGTGCTGGAAGAATCGAAGAATTCTGGGAGGTTTTAGGGCAGTGGTGAAATGCAGGACTAGACTGTTACTGGTGCCTTTGCTCTTCTTCGTGCTTTTCTGTTTCCGTTTATATACCACTTTTTCATGCAATGTGCTCACAGCAGCTTGCAACACAACAACAAGAATACAAAAGCAAAAATCCATGTCAAAACAAGATTGCAACAATGCATCATTACAAGAACAACAATAAAACATTTCTGTAATGCTAACATTTTAACACTCACAACACTATGAAACAGAAAATGCCAATCATTATTCTGTTCATATTGTTTATCAATAATTCATAACTCCTAACCCAAGGACAAATATGACAGACATCCTACAGCGATGCATTAACAGGGTCAACAAGCAGCCTGTTCCCCTTAAAGTACCAAGTTTTTAAAAATTGTGACCAGATGTTTGCAGCCTCCAATACAGTGATTTCGAACCATGGGTCTCCAAATGTTCTTGGACTACAACTCCCAGAAATCCTGGCCAGCACAGCTAGTGGTGAAGGCTTCTGGGAGTTTTAGTCCAAGAACAGCTGGTGACTCAAGGCTGGGAAGCCCTGGTACAACAAATGATTTGCCTCCTTTTGTTCTGGGGAAATTCTTACAGCTCCAAAATGATCCAAGACATTTTAGCATTGCGGAGTAAATCGCCACTTTAAATGCTTATGTCTTTTTTTAATAGTTGCCAGTGTTAAAAGTCCATGATTCTGAGTTGTACTTTACGATAGAACTGAGAACATCCTACAATGTTCTCTCTCAATGCCAGATTTAAGTTTTTGCTGCATGTTACATTCTTCATCTTAAATTAACAGCTCTGGGGCATCTCTATTCTGACTTTTATCACATAACTATATGCTCCCACTGTTCGTTCAACTAATTTCCAAGGTATTACATTTATCCACGTGCTCTGCCTTTTCCTTTAGATCTTTAAATCTTTATGCACTGATTACAAATTCTGTCAGTTGGTTTACCTTAAGTCTTCTCTCTGGCCAAGTGTGAGAACTGCAAGGACTGGTTTTCTTGACCCTTATAGTAGCAACAAGAATAGAAAGAACTGACATCATTCATCTAACATGTTTACCCCTTGGCTATGTCAAATGACTGATTACCTCACAGATTTTTTTCACCCTTTCCCCACAGCATCTCTGGTGTATAAAACAAAGGAAAGGTTCCACCATTATTTTGAAATTGCCTAGATATCAAAACAAAACAAAACCTTACTCACCTTTGGCACCAAATGCTTCCCCCCCCCTTCAAACAAACAAAACAGCACTAGTATATTGTCTTTATGGGGGAGCCTCTGATAATCAAGATGCAGTTTGATAATTTGGCTCTGCAGTTTGGCTAGCAGCAGCATGGGATTGTGTGTTTGCAATAGGAATACTGCAGCAAAACAGGTTTTTTTCTCTTTTTGCATACATACTATCAATGCATTTTCACCTCAGGGTCTCATTTTTGTTTTGTTTTGTCCATGTGCTGTCAACCACTCAAAATATATAGGCGTTTTTCCTAATGCCCTTCTGGTAAACTTGCAAATATTGAGTTGGCTCTAAACTGAACTGGGGATGGACCATACTAACATATGGATGAAAATGGGGGAAGGCAGGCAAGAGGGGTTCAGTTCAGGCCTCTGCTCCACACAGACAACCCCCAGCCAAACCAAACGAGGCCTTTACCACTCACTGTCTTGTGCAGGGTTGCCAAGCCAATAGCACCACACACTCAGAAATGTCAAGGACAAAACCTGAGCATGGACAGAGTTCCTACTCCAGTCCTCTGAAGATGCCGGCCACAGAGACTGGTGAAACATCAGGAAGAACAACCTTCAGAACACGTCCAAAGAGCCCGAAAAACCTACAATAACCAACAAAAACTGAATTTGGGAGCAGGCTCTTGTGATGTCACAGAGGCAGGACCTTCATGTTGTCACAGTGGATGGTTTATTGTATAGCAATTACCAAATAGTGTGGGTAGGTAGGTATAAGATGCTCTTGTGCACCAAACGTTGGGACAAAGTGGCCTCCTTTTTAGCCCTGTGTAGACACCAGAAAATGTGTTGGATACTCACTTGCCTCTCTATCCTCACATCAATTGCTATTCTCTATGTGGAGGGACATAGAGTCTCTACAAATGATCTGGGACCCTGGAAAATTGGGTTCATGTTGCTCCAAGTGGCTCTCTCCTCAGTCCTCTCTTCATGGAGCTTTTAAAAAATATCTCATGGATACTTGGGGACAGAAACCACATATGATGACAAAGCAACACAGGGTGCAATAAATTCTGCCTTAGAATAATTAGAAATGTAAAAAACCTAGGGTCAGCTGAGATGTGGCTGGACTTTGAGGGTTGAACTCAAGTACCATCTCCCACTAATCCAATGGAAGTATGGTGAGATTTTTGCAAGCATAGTGAGAATTTTGCAGGACTTTCCAGACCGGTTTCATTCATTTTGCTGTTTTCCACTAGGTGGCAGGTTTGCATACCTATTAAGACATGACTGATGTCTAGGAACAATTTAAAATCTAGTCCATCTCCTCTTATAAAACTCAAAACCTGTTCAATTTTCAAGTCCCTTCTGCACAGGCTGAGATATTATCCAACCGAGATTAAGAGGAGGGAAAAATTGATTCCAGAAACATTTTGTATTTGAAATGTGAATGGATGTGTTTTCTTGCAGCCTTTTTATTCTTTGAGACAAGTCCAGCAGCATTATTTAGAGTTAGTTCAAATTTTAACTTATCATATTGGGTATAATAGAATCTCAGTCCTTGGCAATCTGAACAGTATATTATTTACTGCTAGACTGGATATATGGATGAGGAATTTAGATGATGACAAGGAAAATCTCTAAAATATTGAGCTAGTTAGTAGAGGACTTAACTATTTTTTGCTTACTCAGTAGCAGATGGTAGCCAGCAACATGCAAAAAAAGAGCATTAACACTGTATTCAGGATGTTATTTCTTGCATATTATCTTAGTGAAAGGTCTTTGTGGGTTTTGGTTCCACTGTGGACTACTTTGGTTTTGGGTGAATATTCATACAAACATGAATTCCATGAGAAACTTAAACTTTATTTGGGTATTCACAATAGGGTTAAACTGAACACATGAGGAAGGGTAAGTGCTTGGGAGTTGGAAATAGCAGTCTGGCTGGGCAGGTCTCTGCTGTGTAGATGGGTTCCCCATGCATTCCTGAATCCCCCAAAAAATCAGGATCCATGCTGATTTCAAGATTCCAGAAACCACTGTTGAAAAAAGTAATTTTTCAAGCTGTATTCTTCAGCCAACTGTTCTATTTTCCAATAGACTGCCCTTCCCTCTTACTTTACCTGGCCAATTAATTCTCTCCTTTCAAACACAGTCAAATCTGATATCCTGTGTACTCTAGGGAGATGAACTACTATTTGGCTAAATGCCAAAACATTAAGTGATTTAGGGTCATTTGTGTGTCTCACTGGAGACCGTAGGAAGGAACAAAGAGCCTGGGGTACTCACTCATGCTATGCAGCAGTACTCTACAGATCCCTTGTGTTCAATCTGGCCTTTGTGCAATAAGACAATACTGAGATTTTTTAAAAATGCCATCTGATTTAAAGTGGGGTAAAGGAAACTGACCGCATCAGTGCCTTATAATGAAGATGCTGAGCTGGCCCCAGAAGAGAAGGAAACAGACAGCTTCATTCTCCAAAGAACCTAAGAGTCTCCTGGGCCTTACAGTCATTGAGGTGGTAGGAAGGGTCTCAGAGAGGTCACCAGGCTGGGGCAGCATGGAGCTATGTCCACGATGTTTTAGCATTTGTACACTCTCCTTCCTCCAGTCCCCAGCTTAGTTACATTTGTATGACTGAGTGTGTTTGTGTGCATAGACGTCAGAACTTAACCTTAAGATTTTAGGGCCTGGTTTGCTCCTTGCCCCTTCCTTTGGTTCTTCCTTTTTGTTAGTATGGGGATATATTTCATAATAGCTGTTTCCTGTTTCTCTTTATCTTGTATTATCTGGGCTGCAGATGAGCAAACCATTCTGACACAAACAATTCTGTTGAGGCCATGTAACTCCACTCTGCCAAAGTTATAATCATTTGTGGTTTCTCATTTGCCAGAAGGGTTTTTCCCTCTTCTCATTGAGATCCAAAAATGCAGAAATTCTGACAGGGACACAGACAAGGGTCTGAAGGAATATCCCCAGAATGACAATGGGCATCTCGGGAGTCAATCTCAGGCACACACCAGCTCAGAGGAACCAATGCATATCCCTCGTATATTCTCTCCAATTAATCCGTTTTCCCTCCAGCAATGAGATTTTCGCCGAATTGCATGCTTCAGCAATCAGCCTCGCAAATTAAGCCTGTATTTACCTTCCTGTGACCAATCACACACCAAAACTATTTAAGATAACAGAGATTAGGGAATTCCCATGCTATGACACAGCGCATCTAAATATGAGGTCTAGTTTAACCCACAGTGACAATCCAGCATGCAGTTCATTACTGCCCCTAATTTGGTCATCATTCCTTCATGCACTGTCCTAATGCACAGAGAGAAGAGTAGAGTTTCTGATGGAACAGCCTAGTCTTATCGTAACATCCCCATGTATATTGGCTCCCTCTTGACTTTTGTACTTTGGTGGGAAGGTCTAAAGGGCAATTGCAAATTCAGCTGAACACATTTAGAATTCTCTTCTCTGCGAGGAACCGTGGATTGTGAGGTTCTTAATTACATGAGAGTTTTTAATGCATGTCGTTCAGAGCACTTGGGCATATGCTGTTGTTGCCTCACTGTGACAACCAGCTTAAGCAGATATTTATCACTAATAAATAGGTCACAGATATGAATACATTTTGGAAAGCAATCTTCATGTTAAAAACACGTTTGTAGCAAACCGGGAAGATTTCTATAGACATACTCATGCAGAAGCTTTGAGTGGTTGTGTATATTTTGGGACCCAATTTCAAATTCTTAATGGCACACATTTGTGTAGCTGGTTATTCACGGTCATGCTGAAGCTGAAGACATAATATTAGCTACTTAAATATGAATATTTACCCAATTTTCTTTCAGCCCACAGAACTCCGGTGCATTCACCTACCTATACCAATGTTGGGAACAGCAATTCAAACAGAAACCTCTATTGAAAGAACTCCAAATATGATGACTTTTTATGTGATTTGCTTTTTAATTTAAATTGTCATTTCTCTCCTTGAGTTTTTAATGAGATCATTCTGCAATAAGAAGCCAGCGTCACCCCTTCCTGTGTCATTTCTCATGTTTTTTTCCCCTTGTTTCTCTTGAATCATCTGCATCTCTTTGGAAAGAGAGAGACACAATCCCCTTTAGCACTTGGTCCCAAGTGTTATAACACAACATACATTTTGCTGACTGTGCCCTATGAAAGGAAGAACTACAAGGAGTGCGTCCGGGTTTGAACATATTGTTGATAATGACCTCTTTGATGGAGTCCGGCAGTGTGGCAAGCATTGGCATTGCTCTAAGAAGCCCTGGGCACCACCAGTTTGATTTTTCACAATGCCCCTGCACAATACTGTTCTAGGGGCATGATAGGAAATTAAAATGAGAAAGAGACCGCTCTTCTGAGTGTCACTGGAACACCCAGTGTGAAAACTGACAGTAATCACTGGTCATTCATTATGCAAAGTTTATGGGCTTTTAATTTAAAAGATTAAAAAGAAAAGCCTAGAGGATAAATGTCTGGGTACGAATCTTTGGAAGAAACTTCTTGATTGGTCTGTTCACATGGTTTTTGAAGTGTTGACTTCTGTTAATTCTATCAGGTGTCATCCACATACATCCAATTGATCCGTTTTCCCTCCAGCAATGAGATTTTCTCAGAATTGCATGCTTCAGCAATCAGCCTCTCAAATTAAACCTGTACAGTATTTACCTTCCTGTGACCAATCACCCACCAAAACTATTTGGTGTGTGACAGTCAAATTCTAGATTCCAGTTTGGACTCTTGGACTTTTCTTTGATCCGTGAACCTGCCTGGGGTCTCTGCCGAGATCTGCCTTGTGCACTGAGTCCATCTCCTCTTCTAAGAGAGGTGGGTGGCAACAGGGTCCTTCCAGTTCTACCACCCCATTGCAGGAATTGTCTCCCCAGAAACAATTTGCCTAGTGCCACTTTTGTCTTCCTTTGAGCACCTAGAATTCTTTTATATGTCTGGACTTTTTAGTAGTTTGATGCACGGCTGGTGGCCTTATGCAACCAATATAGAAAACCTCCAAACTTACATCAAACTACTAGAAGCGCTGAGCAAGTAAAAGTTTTGCTTTTCCTCAAAAGAAATCAAAGGTAGCGCAGGCAAATGTGATCCTTTACTGATCTTTATTGCATCATATTTGTTGTGAATCGGCTGTGCAATTAATGTTCAATCATCTGTGTTCATAAGTCTCTCTGAGAGCAGCTAAGAAGTCTATAAAACAAATACACAGAGAAATAAATGCAACGGTCTCTCCTGCTAATTTCAGCGGTGCTCCTGAAGTCTTTATTTGCACTAGCTTTGACATGAGGCTGTTCTGTGAAAAGCATTCACTTCTGGTCTTGCCTGGGATACAATCAATAGACTTCAAAAAAATAATCCCTCTGTGGCCTATTACTGATGTATCATCCTGTATCATGTCCATTCATCTGAGACAGACCCCTACTAACATTGGCTTTCCAAATCACCTTGTAGCTCCCAGTCAAGGACTCAACAAGCTTACAGGATCAAACATATGATAGTGACATCACTGGAATGGAAGTGCTGTCCTGGATACAGTGGAGCAACGTGCCAGCCCAAAGGTAGGAGGAATGGAAATATTAAGCCTTTCAAATGAATATTCTGAATCTGCCTACAGAATGGCTGCAATGGAAGCCATGTGTGATAGCTGGTAATGGAGGGCCTCCTAGATCAGAGCTAGGCAGATCTAAGGCTTATAGGATTTCTTGTATTTTCTACTGGAACCCCTGCGGTCCACCGACTGCAGGTAAAGGAACATAGTTGCTCAGGAAGACAGACATTGTGTTTTAGCCTTGGTTAATAATCCTAATCCTAATTTTAGAACTGCAGATCTGGAATGCACCCTATGGATTATCGATTCAAGCCTCTTTTAATTAACATTGAAAGCCCTGATTTTAGAGAAGCAATGTAATATAGTGGTTAGTTACATCCCGGATTTAGGATTAGAACAGTGAAACCTAAATTCAAATCAGATCTGTACGTGCCAGAAATAAAGCAAGGTGATTGTCACCTATTTATGCTACAGGTCAATGGTTGAGAATAGGATGAATTCCTTCCCAAGTAGGTATAAAGATATAGCAGAAGAACAAAGAAAAATACAATAGACTAAGGAGCATGTTAAGAACCAAACCAAACCAAGCCCAGTTCTACCCAATTTTATCTACTTGATTGTTTGTGGGTTTCATTTGGTTTCTTTTTCTGGAGATTCTAGAATCTGGATTTTTTTTTTAGAGTAGTGAGTATTGGGGAAAGAAACAATGGTTGCATAATATCATGGTGACGTCATCTCAGGCACTCTTGAGTATCTGCCTTTGGCCAACTGCAACAGTTCAAGTAAATGGAAAGACTAAGAACTGAAGAAAGAAAGCTTTGCTATGTCAGCTGAATGAGCAATGCTGTTAACAGTCCAGAAACATATACTATGGAGTGGGCAAAACTGAAAGCAGTGCATTCGATGATTTGGGCCAATTTAAAGCAGTGGTTCCACACCCTGGGTCCCTAAATGTTCCTTGGGACATCCAGAGACCTTCACCACTAGGTGTGCCAAGATTTCTGGGAGTTGTAGTCCAAGAACATTGGGGAACTCAAGACTGGCAACCACCGTATTAAAGCAACTTGGATGAATGGGTTAAAGATCTTTGTGGACGGTTGTGTGCAGCTTCTACTGACCTTGATCTGGAATGAGAGGTGGAGCGAACTTCTATGAAAAACATATTTTCACTGCTGGGAGAATGGGCTAGAGAGCATAAAACTACGTTTGAAGGATATTTATTTATTTAGCCTTAAATTGACTAATTCTGCCATTTTAAATAAATAAATAATCTTCATTGCTTTCCAGGCTACAGCCTTAAGGGGCTCACCATAAATAGCACCAAATTTTTTTAAAAAAATATGTGTCTCTATATTTGTTTTTTTGCTTCCACTGAAAGTGGCTGGAGATCCTGGAGTTTCCAGCACAAGACTGTAATTGTTCTAAGCATTAGTGAACAGCATGAAACCTGGCTGATTCTGAAAAATATTCTCTGACAAATCGGCCAGAGCCAGGGAGTGAATCTGGCAATGAATTAATCTTCAGCATAGCTAGGATACTGGTTAATTCAACTCTGGCAGAGAAAACTGCCTAGTTCAAGGCATCATTTCATAAAGTAATTACTCAGAGATATTAAATCATGGCCTCCTGAATGCCTCTTGTTTAAAAATTAATTCACCTATAGTAGTTTGACCTGCCTGACTTTTTAAAGTATGCTGTCTCCGAATATATTCCAGCCAGAGGGCATACGTTTAGCCACTCAATCCTATTCCCATTGAAGTCAAAGGAAATTTATATCCCAGGTTTCATTTGGATTAAGATTGAGGCAGATGGCAAAATGCCACATGGTTGATTGTACCAGCCACATGTAAAACATTCTTTATTTGAGAGGAGTCCTGTATTTTTTACAATTGCCCCAGTGATCAAATGCATGGCAAATGAGCTGCAGTTTAACAGGCATATGACTGCTATCGCTTGCTTCTGGTCCTGTACAAGCTCCCCTTGAAAAATAAGATATGGCACCCACATACATATTTTAAATGGATGAATATTACAAGAAATGCCATTAGCTGCGGTAGGGAACTCAATCACTGGCAGTAGGGAAGAGACTGTGATTAAAAATTTATGTACAGAAATGCAGAGAAGTCACTGCTGTTCGCGTTCAAGAGCGGAAAGTCTTAATATTGGAAGTAGCAGAATCCCCCGTGGAAACAAGAGTGTCTCTCACACATGAAGGAGAGGAGACAGACGTTTAGGATAAACAAAAGCCAGCTCTGTTCATTCACTGTGGTTTTATCTCCAAAATCCCAGCCACGATGTGTCTGAAAATATTTTAAAGGTTTTTTTATAGTCACTGTTTTTTTTTTAAATTATAAAACAGATAAACAGAAGGATGACTAATGTGAATGGAGCAGGTTAAAATGTACGTGGGATTGGATACCATGTTCCATGAGCACTTCCTGTCGTGGCCCAAGTTGTCCTAATTCCTGAGGCATGGAAGAAAAGGTTGCTGTCACCCCACTCCTCGCTCATTACAGCTGCTCACCCTCTGTGGAGAGTAGCAATGTAGTAATGCAGTTCATAACATTTTCTACAGTGCCAGCAAGAGCCCAAAGGCTTTGCTCTGAGGGACCTTTTCTTAGAGCCAGGTATTGCAAGCAGGATGTGGTAGAGACAAGGTATCCTGAGGAAGGAGCCCTCAGAGGCAACGCATTTGGGCTCTGGCTCAAATGAGGCTCTACAGAACAGTGGCAATGGGAGTCATGCCAGGAACCAAAATGGTGTACTCGTCATGCCTTACTTCGGAGGATAAAGCTGAGGATGACCTACCGCAGCAGGAGAAGATGAGAAACAGGCTAGACCTTTAGGCTTTCAGCAGCCTGTGGAAGTTCCAGTCCTTGCCAGAGAATACCCATCTCTCCTGGAGATTATGATAGCACGTGTGACTCCAGATATGAGAACAAGAGGCAGCACGGATCTTCTCAATGTCAGACACAGGCAGCAAATAACAAATTAGAGCCAGCTGAAGAAAGGAGGGGTCCCAAGCCAAGATAAATACCAGTGCTCCAAGTCAATCCCAGATTTCTGGAAGCAGCCTTTGTAATCACATTCTGCTCTATCCTTCCATGTATTGCATTGGCCCAAATTTCCTTTTTTTGAGTTAGACATTGTAGCTTTGCTCTTCTTTGCTTCCCTTTTGGTCCTGTTGGATCAGTATGTATGCGATATACAGCTTGACTACTGACACTTGTCTTTGATTCTGTTCTTGCATGTTCCTTGAACCTTGGTTCTGAGTATTTTATGGTTGACCTGAACTGGGTCTTGACTTCCTCTTAGTCCTGTTTATAGATCCAGTAGGACTGCTGTATCTCTGGGTGATTAATTCCAACCTTCCCAGCATGGATGTCAAAAATGCTGAAGTATCAAATGCTATACATTGCATGGTCTTGGGCTCTTTCTAGTGGCCAGGTTTGGTAAATACACCCTGAAATCACATATTCCCATGTTATGCAAAGGAAATGGAGGGGGGGAGAGCGATTCTGCTTTCCCCCTCCATTTTCTTTGCAAAACATGGCGGGGGAAAGTTGCTTTTTGCAACGAAAATATAGGTGGAAAGTAGGAATCGCTTCCCCCCCCCTCCATTTTCTTTTGCAAAACATGTAGGGGGAAAGCAGTGATCAAAGTGTGTTGATCCCTCCCCCCTTACTTCCGAGTATTAAATGACCCTCAATTTTTCTTTTAATTATTTTAGGAAAATGTGTCATTTTATACACGGAAAAATACGGTATTTTCAGGTTAGGTCTTATTTTCAGTGAAACAGGGTATTAGTAAAGATAAAAGCCAGTATCCTGTTGCTAGTCCCAGAATAGATGATTGAATCAATTTTTGAAAGTTAAGTCAAGCTTGAATTAGCAGTAGGATACTGGCCCAGTTTTGCAGGTACTAGGAGCAGGCCCCTTACTTCCGAGTATTAAATGACCCTCAATTTTTCTTTTAATTATTTTAGGAAAATGTGTCATTTTATACACAGAAAAATACGGTATTTCTAGTTTTTTTATATATAGTATTTTCAGGAAGTGGATAAGTGAATCAGCAGATAGTGATCCTGCGGATAGGGGATCATACTGTATTTACTTCCTTAGAACATGGCAACACTTCACCAGTTCTGGTGCTATATTGCATGAATTAGCTCATTTTGTGTAAATGAAGGACTAGGGATATAAATCTCAGTTTGATCAGTCTTTGCAGGTTAAATGGAACAGCACAGGATTTTTTTCCCCATCCCTATAACATAGCAAGATTTTCTGAAGTTAGTCTCAGAGAGATTTTGCAATTTCTTCGACACAATTTTTTTCCTGCACATTTTCTATAATTTATTTATTTATTTATTTATTTTATATCCCGCCTATCTGGTCGTGTGAGGAAGAGAGATTTTGCAATTTCATTGACACAATTTTTTCCTGCACATTTTCTATAAATGCACAAATGTTAAAGCTGTGATAATTTGTGCCTTGTTACATGGATGGTTGAAAGCAGTAAGATCAAATGGGTTGTTTGTGCCTTTTTGATCCAGCTTATTTGACCTTTTGATCAATGAGCTCATCCATTTATGTTTTCTGTGTGCATGCTGAACTACTAAGGATGCACAGTAGGACCATTGTATGTGTGGGATCAGTACCTGTGGTTGCAGTTATCTACTGCCTGAAAATATTAAACAACATGCCCCCCCAGAAATAGATATTTACAGGGTGTATTACCAGAACTGGCCAGTAGAGGAAACCAGAGACTATGCTATATACAGGGATGCATATCCGTGGGTTTTCAGCATCCACAGGGGGAGGGGCTCAGAAACTATGCCTCACGGATAAACTGTTCCTACTGTAATGCATGCTCACTAAGTTTCTTGTCATTGATTAAAAGTGGAATATTGTTTCATCAAGACACCTGCTGAAAAAGAGATCAGCTGCTGCCAGTTTTTTGCTCCTGCTCCTGTCTGAGTGTACAGACCAGGACTCCCCCGCCCCCCATTAG